TGCGCTGGCTGGACCCTTGGTCCATGGGGTCAAGAACGATACGCTTCGCCAATGCACACGCACACACACACACAACCAAATGAAAATAGGGAAGCACCTGAAGCGTGATCGGAAATAGCCAGTGCTACAAGTCACACTCAAACACTGCTCACGGATCAAACCCCGACAAACTTTGATTCTCAGGCAGCCTTGGACAAACAGGCTGAAACTACTGCTCACGCTCCAATGGGGATCGATCGCTCGGTCAGACGCAAAAGCTGATTGCTTCCAGAAACCAGGACAGCAAACCAAACATATTATCCAAAGAACTGAGAATCAAGCACGAAGTGCTACAGTCTTTGTCGTGCCAACTCCACACAAGACCCTCGTAAAGGATTTTCCTGCCCAATCCTGCCTGTGTCTGCGTGAGTTTGGGCTTGCCATCACGCTTCAGCCGCCTTTTGAGAAGACACCGCCTGGCAATGGGAGAGTATCAACCACAAGCTGGACTGCAGTGTGAGATGCATTGCAGTCACGACGGTGCCGACTAGTACTCCTAAGAATTGGTGCAACAACACTGTAAGAAGCCTGTCCAAATTACACAAATGCCACAATGCAATGCTGTGAAACAGACATCAGGATCTCTGTGAGGCATTTGATCACAAGATTGAAGGTGTTGAAGCTGTAGGGCGAAATCCCGATTCGTGCTTGCCAAACTCCAGAGGAGTCTCATGTTTTCGCCGAGTAGGAAAGCAACGCTCATGATGCACACTTTCATAAGGCCAAAAGCACGTGACACGCGAAACAATCGCGATGGGAGCTCTTGAATGGCCTGGCCCTGTTCCTGTCAGATGCGCCTCCGAACAGCCGGTGACGACCGCCCAGGCAGCACCATGGGGCATCACGCCCCCACAGGGGGTTAAGACAGGAACTGCTGATGCACACATAGAACTGGGACTAAAGCTCGGTGCTCAACCGGAACTCCCTGATTGCATTTTGCGCAAAACAAAATGCATTAAAGGCGATGCGCCAGAGTACAGTCAGCGGCAAACCCGGCAAGTCACTTCAAGTGCTGTCAACAAAGCCAGATATTTCTAGGCAGGATTTGGCATATTAGTCGAAAAAGTACCAGCAACCCTATATCAAGGACTCTCGGCACGGGATACATGTGGTTGATGGTTTAGGGTCTTCACCTTGTAGCGGGACACAGTGTCTCTGGGTTGGGACACACACACACAGAGGATTCCGGTTTTCGGCCAAATCTTGAGCAGCGTTCATGTTCGTCAAGGCTTGGGCTTAAAGGTTCACTTTGGATTAATCCCGAGACCCAGCCCGCTAAAATGGACAGATTGCTTGCAAAATCAAGCAGTTCGGTTGCCTTGCTTCGCATCCCTTCGCTGCTGCTACAGCATGCTTTGGCACACGGCAGTTGGTCAAGAGGGCCACGGGCCCAGTCTCTGTATGTAAAGCACCCCGCGCAGCGGGCATGCTTGAAAGAAAAAGATGCTAAAAGGGCATCTTTGCCAGTGATGTCACTACTTGCGCCTGCCTAAATCTGGTAAATGCTGTCCGAGGGACAGTGCACGCATTACATCCGGCAACAACTGTAGGCCTTGACATCTCCTGGCCACAGTTTGGCACGGAAAGCCGAGTCAGGCGGGGCTGCTCTTTGCTTCGCCCGTACAGCTGGCTTCGCTTCGCTGCCCGCATCAAATGTGGCACTCCTAACCGGTTGGTTTCCTCTGCGTTTCGTTTGGGCTTCCTTCAAAGCATTTCAACACCATCTGGAAGGGCCAAACACTGACCAGAAGCTTGCCGTTGCTCGTCCCCGCCGGAGACGAGCCTGAATGCTGCGCAGCATCCTTGCAGCTCACCCTAGACACGTTGGCCCCTGGAAATCGGACGAATTTGGGAACATGACACAAGCCCATGGCACAAATTGATGACTGCAACCTCTCCATATTCCCTTGAAAGAGAGCATCTTGAAAGTCAACATAGTGACGGATTGTCATTGTCTCCGTCGCTTTCTGGCCGAAGGCCGAAAGACTTGCCCACTGCCCTCGTAGCGGCGTGCGCCGGTCGTGCGCTACTTTACATCCTGATCTTGAGACATCAGGAAAGCATGCAGTGCCCGCGCTGAATCTGCACGTCATCAACGCATAAGTTCTGGAGTTCTTGGCTAGATCAGGCTGTACTCACCGAAATGTGTAACTTCCTTGACGACGCCGGCATGATTTGGCGAGAAAAGCCACGTCTCTTTGACTCTCTTTGAAGAGCATACAAAACGTGCTCTTGTTAAGCCTCTTTGGAGACATTGTCGCTTGTTATGCCTTGCGGGTTCGCTTCACAGGTGCCTCATCATCTTCATCAGATTCTGCTCGAGCCTGGCACAGTTTCATGTGGGGAGCATCAGCAGAAAAGCCAGATCTCAGCAGGTGTGCTCGAGGACACGTTGCTCACGTACTCGCACATGATTCATTTCGGATTTGCGACCTATGGGCCACACATCTGAGAAACATAGGGTGCTTCTGCATGCCCCGTGTCATTTCTGTATGGACCCAAACGAACCCGTGATGTTGAAAAAAGCCTCTCACCAAGGGCAACAAGGCAGCCAGACCCGAATGTGGGATAAAAGGAACCCTGAAGTGGATGTATCCTGCGAGGATCACAGTTCAAAGCACACCGTCCTACACACATCAGATCAGCTGTCATGTTTGCTGCTTCTGCACATCCATTGACTGGTACAATGGAATAATTCACGCAGCGGTCCTCGTCTTCCCAAAGAACACGATAGGTGTCATCACTGCGCTTACGCTTCGCAATCCTCGAAGGTAGACGGTCATCAACCATGCTTTTGCCACGCTTATCTGGGTGTGTGCTGTGCATCTATATACTGTATATGTAGATACAACATGTCTCTGCAAACGAAGCTGGTCCAAGCCAAACCGATCTTAACTACTGCACCAAACCTGAACTCATCCCCCAAGCAAGTGTAATATATGACATTCACATAAATAGACGGTTTATTGGGGAAAAAAAACTTTGCCAAAGTCGTAGAGGGCATTCATTGGTCCGTGCAAACGCGAATGCCATCAACGCACGCCCTACCTGGTGTCCAGGCCCCGCGCTTGGCAGCATACCAGAAGCCATCCTGCCCCGCTAGCGGTGTGTCCCGAATGGAGACACACAGGGAGTACGAGTTGGGCTACCACGCTGCCAGCAACGTTCTTGCATTCCGAAGATTATCCGCAAGGAATAGCCATCATGAACAAGCTCCCCATGGCAGTACAAAAAGTTGTTGTATTCGTCGCGGCCTGCACTGGCTTTGCTCACGATTCAGGCTGACAACACACTCACTCTCAGCGAAGCACCGCCAAACGCAAACCATCTCGCCTCCCAAAGTGCCTCCACCTGAGCAAATCTGTTTGCCAGTCAATTGAAGATTAACAACAAATATACGTGATTGCAAAAAAGGAGTAGCTCACCAGGGATTTCCGTGCGCATCCAGCAAATCCTCTAGAGTGACAATAGGGTATCTATCCGAATCTATCCAAAGCAACCCCTGCAAACAGTTGGCTTCGTGGTGGAACGAAGCCAAAATGATCCCAAAGGGGTATCTTTTGACACACTGCCAGGTCTGTCGCTTGCAGGCCTTTGCGCCAGGAGCCCACATTTCAGGCGTCCCCTTCACTTGCGCCTGCGAAGCGTGCAGAGTTGATGGACTCTCGCAAATGAGTCCAGAGAGGAAAATGCCAAGACGAAGCATGTTCAACTATGGCCCCTTGCAATGGACCAGGAAGAGAGTGCAGAACAGTCCCGTCATAGGCGCCAGATTCGCGTGGAATTCCACCATGCAGCGACCTGTTTGAACAACGAAACAATGAGGCCTAAGATGTAGCAACCATCATGGAGTGGGATGCTGCGACAAATGTGGCGGCTAGTTGCGGCCGATCGAAGTAAGCCCATGGTATGCGCCAAGCCCGCACACGCAAGACACGCCAAACGCCTCCATCGGCCACACGTACCACAAAGCATCCTATGGCGCGAGCCACAGGGAGCTTTCTTGCACAAACAACTTGCCAAGCAACAAGAAGATGGTTCCATACTTCCCAAAACATAATTCATGCGGCCAAAAAAACAAAACACCGCTTCGGGGTCGATTGAAAAAGGACGTTGATCACCTTAACCCACATGCAGCAAAACAACAAAGTTGGCACAGTCATGACATTAGACATCACCAACCAGCAAGATGTTGAATGAATGCTATGGGGCAAAGCGCGTCGGTGGAACAGTCTGACCCAACTGTAAGGATTCGCAGCTGGAGTCAGCCATCCAACTAAGGACCTGTCAACAGGTTCCACCAGCTTTGCATGAATGGAGGACTCAGCACAAAGAAACCGCGACAACCACCCGCCAGGCTCTGGAACCAATGCACATGTCAAAGTCGAAAGCATGCGTTGCTTCTTGCCAGAATCGTTGCACAGGCTGCAAGCAAAACTTGGGAAGTGCGTCTGAGATCCAAACATGTTCTTTGCTAAAAGCAATCATTGTGCAGGGTCAGCGTCCCTCGGAAGCCTGGCTACACATTCCATCACTCAGACTATCGCATCAACATGCTGTGTTGCTTTGGGTTTTCGAGGCTTGGGTGGCGGGCAGACCTGCCAACTGAGACTCAATTCGAGCTTGGGCAACAAAGTGATTGGCAATGTCCAAACTTCACTGACGTCGATACTTGAGGACTCTTGATCTTTTCTGCTGTCTTCGAATGCTTTTGGCAACTTGTCCAGCACTTCAAACCTTGCAAAAGAACGTGCAACCCTTGTGCACCGGGGCACACCTTGCAAATGAAGGCACAAAGCAAGAGGTTGTGTTTGCCATGTTTGACGAAAATCAGCCACAACTCACAAGCAAAGGGAACAGTGCAGCACGTTCTGGGTGTCGAGAAATCCTATACCGATCACAATGGCATCCCAATGACTTAGAGTCCACGAGCACAAAAGTCTTGTGCCAGCACACATGTTTGTATGATGTATCTACACATCTACACACGTTGAATGCAACACCCTGAGTTAGACTATCGCAACAATCTCCTGTTTGGCCACCAAAGGAAACGTGGCCAGGATCGCTGTAAAATGAAACTTAAAAACCCAAGACCGGGCCTGGGAGGCCCTGCCGGCGCAGTGCAAGGCCCGCCACCCGGACGTGGAGCACAGCTGCACTGTCAAAGTGCTGGTCCAGCGCTTCGGAGTCGAAGCGCCGCAGTGGAGCATCTCGCTGTCCAAGATCAGCTTGGGGCTCCTCACCTGACTCTCATTTTTACAGGTCACAGGGAGTGGTTTCAAAAAAGGGGCCCAATGCATAAAAAACACCATTTGTAGCGGCCCAACAAAACAGCCCAGATAAGAAAGTTGCGCTTTGGGGGCGGGGCTAACTTTCAACGCCCCTGGGCGGAGTGAAATTGGATAAATTGTATAGGTGGCGAGTTTCTGCTTTGAATTCCAAAGGATCTGACCAGCTCTGAGACTGCATGCTAAAAACCAAAAGCAACGCTTCGCAAGCTGCGGAGTTCATGCTCCAGCAGCCCGGAGAAATGCAAGGCTCAAACAGTTGTTTGCTTACTGCTCATTCCATCCGACGTCTTGTTCCGATCCCCAGTCACAAAAGCAGCTTTTTGGTTTGCAGGATTGGACATTCCTGGCTGTGGCCCAGAACAGCCAATGAAACCATCTGCATACGTCTTTGCTTGCAAGCCACTAAAAACGTTGGCCGATGCTGCGCGTGTCCCAGCCTGCTGGCATTCTGAGTGGTGTCTGGAAACGACATATTGAAAAGGGGGCGGGCTCTCTTAATGAATCCCTGCCCAATTGTGGAGACAACAGTTTTAGCATGATGGCCGACAAGGGTAGTTTCGCCTGTGGTTGTCATCAACGGTTCTTGCTTCATCTAAAAACAAAGTAGTCCACGTAGTGTCCCTAGTGGCTCCACGCAGTCGGTGGGAGAGAAAGCCACGGGTTTCGCCATCGCCTCGCCTGCCGCTGCACCTCATAGTGCCAGTCTTCCACCGTCCCCTCGGTGAAGCCTGTGCACACCACCTGAGTCGTGGCACGAGTGCCATTGCAGGTACATAAAACCAAACACTGGAAGCATGCCTCCGCTGTTTTGACAAAAGCCTATGCGAGAGACTACGCCCTACGCTCACCTTTTCGGGAACTACTCTTTGCGCCGTAGCAAACCACGCCTTTGCAAACTTGGCTATGGATTTTGTTGGAATGGCCCACGCAGAATACCTGCGCGATCCTACCCGCCACCTGCGTGAGCCTGCGCGGCACAAGACGAGTTCCAGCTGAACGAATAGCCAAACAAATATCTGCGATTTGTTCCTTAAAAGTCCGGCAACACAGGGCCGTCCGGCTTGCCTAATGAGTCAGAACTCTTCTGGCCTTGGTGGTGCAAGGGCCACCATCGCACTTCCACAGCAGATGGTGGAAGCGTCCCACACTCCGCCGCGGGCGAGGGGGCTCCTCCTCAGAGGACAGGATATCCACATGCAAGGTCTGCGGGTCGGAGCCAGGAGGAACTAGCGTCCAGCCCAGCTCAGTGATCCACGGCTCCCTGCGATCTTTAAGCCTGGGCCACACGAGCTCCTGTTCGAAAGGGCGCAGCGAAGCCGTTCAACCCTTCGGTCCACGGCCGATGTCAACAAGATGCGGCGGTGCAAACCTTTGCTTATGGTGAAAGCATTCCACAAAATGACTGGGCCACAATTGGCGATCCATGTGCTCACTGTTTGTTACTCACTATAGGTGAAACCACGATTAACTATTTCTGTGTTCGAACAAAAAGCCCAGTAGGAAGGATCCACCACCCGAAGTTTGAATCCCGCGTTTCTCCTCCAAGGCAGGGGGCAACCTGGGAGCTGGGCCGCGCCTGATGGCGGCTTCGATGATGGACACATAAAACCGCGGCCCCGTCTCTTCGCACTGGTCGTTCACCGAGGGGTGCACGGCAGAAACATAGACGCCTGGGGTGCAAAGAGGGCCTGAGAAACCGAACTCTGGCATTCATCATGAACCTTCGCTCCGACTACCCTGACTAACTTCTTGAAAATTTGAGTTGGTCCGCAATTTGTTTAAGGCGTATTGTGGCTGTTTTCTCGCTACTTGCCGTCTCAGGGCTGTCAGGCGCTTCTGGTTTGGTGCCTGGCCAACCCGAAGCAACCGAACCACGTCTCAGCCCAGCCAAATCAGTCCACCTTTGCTTAGGTTTACCCAACATGCCGGCGGGCGAGGATGTCGAGCACAAGCTGACTGCATCTGCCACTTGGGTCACTTGGGTCACTTGGGTCACTTGGGTCACTTGGATCACTTGGGTCACTTGGGTCACTTGCTCTCGGACTCTCGGGTGGCCAGATCTGCAACTGCGTCAAGCGGCAGCCAGCTCAAGGGCTCCAAGTGGATGGGCCGCCTGGCGCAACAGCGAAGTCCGCATCTCAGACCAGGACTCGGAGATACAGACTCGCTCTGCCTCAGTAGCGGGTCTGTCAAAGAGGCTTTATCATCTGCGGTCACCCAGCATTACAGCCGGAAAGTCTGAATTTCAATCGACGTCTGGGGCTACAACGGCGTGGCTGAAGATTGCAAATCGCAAACCAGCTCCTGTGTCCTGACTTCTGCTACCACAGACAGCCGGAGAGTCTGTATCTGATTGGAAATACAGACTTGCTCCGCCGCAATAGCGCGCACATGGCGAGAGAGGGCAAGTCCGCATTCCCAAACTCTTTTGCGGCTAGAGACATTTTGTCTAGGCACAACAGCCGAAGAGTCTGTATCTCAAAGGGTAGCTTGGGAACACAGACTTGTCCTCCTGCCGCGTCTTTTTTGCGCCAGCCCGTCTAGCGCAAAACAGCGTCGCAAGTCTGTCTTCCCAAGCCCTGGCGATCGACTACCTGGAATGACAGACCTGCTCTGTTGCAACAGCGGGGAGGTCTGTGTCTCAGACGATTCGCAAGGATAAATTTTCATCGGCGCACCAGGACTGTGGACGCATGTGCTCCCAGTCCCTTTTCTGGCACTTGGCATGACAGCTGAAGTCTGCATCTCAGACGGGGGTTTGTGGGGGCAGTCTGTTCCCAAGTTCTTTTCTGGGTGCTTTCCGGCAGGCGCCGCGTGGCTGCGATTCTAGTTGGGAGTCTGAAACCACAGACTTGCTCTCTGCGCCGGAAGCAATGCGGCAGTCTGTCCCCACATGTCCAGCCGGACAGCAGCAAGGGCCCGGCGACAGTTTCGAAGGAGAACGTGCAACACAGATTCGCTCGTCGTCTCAGCGGCTGCTGCGACAGCCGGAAGTCTGCTTCATTTGTCAATTTACCCGCAACCCGATCCAAGTGCCCAATAGCTCATGTTCCCAGGTCGCAAAATCAGCCCTAGGCACCTCACCCTTCCCGCCTCCCTCCATCTCTCGCGACACCTCCCACGCGGCCGCCGTGCCAGGCCGCTGGTCCTCATCCTTCCAGGGCTTCTTAGCCTCCAGCAAACTCACCACCTGGGCACTCAGCCGCCGGTGGTAGCCTCAAGCCACTCAGTCACAAACAGGCAAAAGCTTTGCGTGTTCAGAAATAGATCCGTCCAACAGAGGCAGAGACAGACAGAGAAGAGACGGACAGAGACAGAGACAGAGACAGAGACAGAGACAGAGACAGAGACAGAGACAGAGACAGAGGCAGAGAGAGAAAGAGAGAGAGAGAGAGAGAGAGAGAGAGAGAGAGAGAGAGAGAGAGACAGAGAGAGAGAGAGAGACAGACAGAGAGAGAGAGAGAGACAGAGAGAGAGAGAGAGACAAGACAGAGAGCAAACCGAGAGACCAACAGACAGACCGACACACCGAGATGTGACAGACAGACCGACCGACCGACCGACCGACAGACCAACAGACAGACCGGCAGACAGACAGACAGACACGCAGACACTTGGAGAACGCATAAACATACATGCGCATGTAATATCTGTAGATGAACATATATGTCGTTCACACGCACATGTGGGCGCGTGTGGAGTTCTGCGGGGTCTGTGCTGCTGGGAGGTCCGGGAACGGATAGGTCAGGAACTCCAACAGCAATGCGGCTATGCTTGTATTGGGTGTTGTATTTTTCTCGCCTCACCATTCTTTCTTCTTTGTTGATGGCTTTCTTCGTTCGTTCATTCGATTGATGCATTCATTCGTTCGTTCATTCGCTCAACTTTCATTCATTCAGTCCTTCCCTCCTTCCTTCCTTCCTTCCTTCCTTCCTTCCTTCCTTCCTTCCTTCATTCATTCATTTCATTCATTCATTCATTCATTCATTCATTCATTCATTCATTCATTCATTCATTCATTCATTCATTCATTCATTCATTCATTCATTCATTCATTCATTCATTCATTCATTCATTCATTCATTCATTCATTCATTCATTCATTCATTCATTCATTCATTCATTCATTCATTCATTCATTCATTCATTCATTCATTCATTCATTCATTCATTCATTCATTTTCATTCATTCATTCATTCATTCATTCATTCATTCATTCATTCATTCATTCATTCATTCATTCATTCATTCATTCATTCATTCATTCAGTGATTCCATCATTCCATTCATTCCATTCTTCCATTCATTCCATTCATTCCATTCATTCCGTTCATTCCGTTCATTCCATGAATTCCATTCATTCCATGCATTCCAATCATTCCATTCATTCCATTCCTTCCATTCATTCCATTCATTCCATTCATTCCATTCATTCCATTCATTCCATTCCGTCCATTCCATTCCGTCCATTCCATTCATTCCGTTCATTCCATCCATTCATTTCATTCCTTTCATTCCTTTCATGCATTCGTTTCATATGTTTCATTCGTTTCATTCGTTTCATTCATTTCATTCATTCATTCATTCATTCATTCATTCATTCATTCATTTCATTTCATTTCATTTCATATCACGTCATTTCATTTCAGTCATTCATTCTCGGTCGGTCGGTCGGTCGGTCGGTCGGTCGGTCCGTCGGCTGGCCGGCCGGCCGGCCGGTCGGTCTGTCTGTCTGTCTCTCTCTATTCCGTTCATTCCGTTCATTCCATGAATTCCATTCATTCCATGCATTCCAATCATTCCATTCATTCCATTCCTTCCATTCATTCCATTCATTCCATTCATTCCATTCATTCCATTCATTCCATTCCGTCCATTCCATTCCGTCCATTCCATTCATTCCGTTCATTCCATCCATTCATTTCATTCCTTTCATTCCTTTCATGCATTCGTTTCATATGTTTCATTCGTTTCATTCGTTTCATTCATTTCATTCATTCATTCATTCATTCATTCATTCATTCATTCATTTCATTTCATTTCATTTCATATCACGTCATTTCATTTCAGTCATTCATTCTCGGTCGGTCGGTCGGTCGGTCGGTCGGTCGGTCCGTCGGCTGGCCGGCCGGCCGGCCGGTCGGTCTGTCTGTCTGTCTCTCTCTATTTCTGTGTGTGTGTGTGCGTGTGTGCGTGTGTGCGTGCGTGTGTGCGTGTTTGTGTGCTTGTGTGTCTGTGTGTTTGCGTGTTTGTGTGTTTCTGTGTGTCTGTGTTTGTGTGTTTGGGTGTTTGGGTGTTTGTGTGCTTGTGTGGTTGTGTGTTTGTGCGTAGTTGTGTGTTTTTGTGTCTTTGTTTGTGCTTCTGTGTGTTTGTGTTGCTGTGCTTCTTTGTCTGTGTTTGCGTGCTTGCGTACTTGTGTGTTGTGTGTGTGTTTGTGTGCGTGTGCTTGTGCGCTTGTGTGCGTGTGTGCTTGTGTGCTTGTGCGCCTGTGCTTGCGCGCTTGTGCTTCTGTGACTTCTGTGTGTCACTGTGTCTGTGTGTCGGTCCGTCGATGCGTTGATGCGTCGATGTGTCGATGTGTCAATGTGTCAATGTGTCGATGCGTCGATGCGTCGAGGTGTGGATGTCTCGATGCGTCGATGCGTCGGCGCGTCGACGTGTCGACGTGTCGATGCGTCGATGCGTCGATGCGTCGATGCGTCGATGTGTCGACGCGTCGATGTGTCGACGCGGCGATGAGTCGATGCGTCGACGTGTCGATGTGTCGGTGCGTCGGTGCGTCGGTGCGCCGGTGCGTCGGTGCGTCGCTGCGTCGGTGTGTCGGTGCGTAGGTGTATCGGTGCGTCGGTGTGGGTGCGTCGGTGCGTCGGTGGGTCGGTGTGTCGGTGTGTCGGTGCGGCGGTGCGTCCGAAACCCTCACGACAATGGAACAAGGCCAGGCCAATAGTAAGCTGCCGCGGCTCGTGGTGCTCCAGAATTGGACAGGCAGTTTCGATCCTGCTGCTGATAATTTTGGAGACAGTCTTTCCACATGAGGCCAAAACCCAACGTACTGGTCTCATTCTTCGGTCTATTTGGCGCATCTTTCACCAAAATGCTGTGGACATGGAAATTGTCTTGGACCAGCAAGATTTAGCAGGGTTTTTCAACAATGTTGAGCAGCGTCGAATTTTGACTTCCGTGCAGTTTTTGATCCACCGGTATGTTCAACTTCAAGACGTTTCTATTGACTCGGATTTCTCGGTCACCACGCAGCATGCTGAACGTGTTCAACGAGTCTTCAAGGGCAGATGGCGGCGGCCCGGGTCTACGGTCACGGTTTTGCAACTTCGGGATGTTGTTCCCCTAGTGGGCGTGCTACTTCAGTACAGCCTCTTCACCGTCGGCGGAACAGTTTTCCAGCAAACATGTGGGGCCTCAATGGGTTCACAGTGGGCGCCGGTTCTGTGCTCCATTGTTGCAGTTTTCCGGGAATGGTCATTTGTCCAGTCCTTACAGGCCTCAAGTACTTGGATCCAACACGCCCTCCTTGCTCGATATGTGGACAACCGCATTGTGCTATTGGTCAATACTCCGCTACGAGGTCATGATTTGAATATTCTTCGCTGGCCGTGGTTTTACGGTCGGCCCCTTGAACCAGAAGTTGTTCAGGGTGATATTGTTCTGGCAAAGATCAATTATGCTAAGATTGCCAGTCACTCCACATGCGCTGCGAAGTTTTCGCTCGGCCGGGGCACAAACGGCCATACTGTCGGGCTTACGCGCCCGCTTATTTTTGGTTTGCAGGTATGTACGGCCCCGTCGATTAATCCTTCACCAAGCTCAGGATTTGGTCTGGATGTATGCTACTCAAGGAACTCCTTTCGCGTCTCTCTTACCAATTGTCCGTGACATGTTGCAACGTTTCCACTTGTGGACTTCTGAAGCCCGCGATATTTTTGTAACCCCTGTAGTCTCCTCAACTGTTTCACCCTGAAGGGCAACCCTTCGACGAAACAAACACCGATGAAAGAAATCATGCTGCCCGCCGCACGCTGGTTATTTCACCTTTTCGTTCAGGCTCCAGGTTTCCGTTCCAAGGTTTGACCGGGGTCTGACTGCCGTTGCCTGACAGCTTGCAGAGCGTGACATTTGTCGACTTGCCAAAGCAGCTTGCAGAGCCTGACCTT